CCCCTCGTCTGGACCCTCCAGGAAGACTGTGGAGGGGTATAGGGGATTTAGTCATAGGGAGCAGACCCTGTACACCACCAGCCACCCCATTGCATCCACCTCTGGGAGGATTGGGGTGTCGTGTTCCCCACCACAGTGGGGTTTTATCCCCCTCCCCATTGCATCCCCACTCATGTGGGCCTGGGGGACCCACTGCACCCCAAAACACTGTGAGTCCCCATGCCTGGGACCTCAGTGCTGGGTCCAGGGAGCATTGCTGCAGGTGGTTGTTACCTGCCATGGGTGCAGTGGGTGAGCAGGAGGTGTCCGTGGCTCCATCCCCCGGCATGGTGGCAGTGGAGACCCCCACGCAGCCCCCTCTCAGCGCAGTGCCAGCTCCAGACTCCCCTGCAGCCTGCCGGGGGTTTTATGCCCCAGCTTGGGGGTGGAGAGGCGGGGGCTGGAGCTGAGGTTGTCCTCAGGGGCTGGAGCACAGCCCCCTTCCCCAACCTGCCTTCATGCCTTGACGCGATGATGATGGACGGGAGGCGAGCGGTGGCAGTGCTGGGACCACTGCTGGTCCCCAAACGGGGCTTGGGGTGCCCTGGGCTGGGGAGGGACAGCTCTCCTGGGGTCTCCTTGTCCCCTTCAAGTCACAGATCTGAGCGGGGCCAATGGGGGCTGCTCCCGCCCCCTCCCTGGGCAAAGCTCCTCTCTGCACATGGCCATCAACACCTGCTATTAAAATACGTGGCAAGGTGTTGAGGCATTGAGCTGGCTGCTCCGGCACAGCCTCTGCAGCTCTGGGGTGGGGGGAAGGGTGCTGCTCCCTCCCCTAAACCCATCCCAGTGTGGGTCCAGTCTCTTCCCATGCTACCTGGGACCATCCCGTGTCCCCCAGTGCTGTGTCGATACCAGCCTGACAGTGGAGATGGATGGGGACAAGCTGGTGCCGCAGGGCTGAGGGATATTTGCAGGGAGGTGATGGACATTGGGGTGGGGGGAAGCAGGGGGGACTACTCCAGAGACCCCCACACCCATCTGAACTGCAGTGGGGCCACAGACACTTTATTGCACACCATGGAGTGTATTCTGGTGGGAGGAGGGATGCTGAGGCTCTGGGGAAGTGCCTAGAGGACCAGCGGACATCCTAACAGGGATGCTGGTGGCTTTCTGTCCTAGTGGTAACCTAGTGATAGTAGATCTGGGCTGAAATCCTTCCCTGCTTTGCACAGAGCCAGCTGTTTTTTCCAATCTCCCTTCTGTTTTGGGAATGGCCATTGTAGTGGAGAAGAAACTGTCTGCCATATAGTGTTCAAGTGTTGGCAGTTTTGGGACCAGAACTGATGCAAACCAGGGAGGAGCCAACTCCCCAACTCCCCCAGTCTGTCACATCCCCACACGTGTCCCTTGGCCTGCGGAGCCAGCTCAGCCTCATCCATCTCCCCCTGTCAGCCAGACCGTGGCCGCGGGGCTGGTATCGAGCAGGGAGATGAGGAGGTGTGAGAGGCAGAGCTGACAACAGGGAGGAGGATGGAGGTGGCTCAGCCCCAGGCAGGAACAGACCTGCCAGGGCTCATCTGCAACTCCTGGAGATGATTTTTCTGCTGGAGAAGAAAAAAGAGGTGAGGATGCAGCCCTGGAAGGGTTTTAAACCCTGAATGCTGACAGGATGGTGGGGGATTGCTCACGGTGGTGGCACTTGGGGACATGGGTTAGTGGTGGTCTTGGCAGTGCTGGGGGAACAATTGGACTTGATCCTAGAGGACCTTTCCAACCCAAATGATTCCATGATTCTAAGAAGGGAAATATCATCACAAAGGGCACAAAGACTGCAGGGTGACTCAGTTCCCAATGGGATGAAGAAGCAAATCCCTCAGGCAGAGGCAGGACAGGAGGTGACCATGAGGAGCCAGCATGGGTGTGCCAAGACTAAGACATGCCTGACCAACATGAGAGCCTGGGGTGGTGACAGGATTGGTGGCTGTGGGGACAAAAAGAGCAGTTGACAGTATTTGCCTCAACTTTAGCAAGGTCACCACAGTCTTCTGGATTTTTGCAGCCAGGCTTCACAGAATCCTGGAATGGTTTGGGTTGAAAGTGATCCTAAAGCTGACACAGTTCCAGCCCCCTCTGCCAGACTAGATTGCTCCAATCTCCATCTACCCTGTCCTTGGACATTTCCAGGGATGGGACAGGTGAGCTGTGGTTTGGATATAAGGAATTAAGGATGAGTAGAAAGGTTGGTTCGTCATCTACGGTGACTGGAACTGCTGATGGATTCCTACTCTTGTAGAACTGTCCCCCACTGGTGAGGCCTCCCTCAGCTCTCTGATGTGATAATGCCAAACATGGCACTTCTGGAGCTGTAAATCCCCAAAACTGGATGCAACAGGTGGGGTGTTGCTCTGTGGTTGCCCTGGGGAGAACCCAAAGCCCTGTGGCTCACTCAGGGTGAGGCCATCTCCTCTGGGTACCCTTCTCCCCAAACTCAGAAGCTCAGAGAAGAGATAACGACCTGCTTTGGGCTTTGTCACTCTCCTGGGGTTCCAACATTCCCCAAATCACATGGAATAGCAAAGCTTATTGCTGACAGAGATCTGTTTTTAAACTCACCTGCAGAGCTTCAGGCAGGTGTGTTTTCACATCCACCTCCAAGAGTATCAGGAGGGAAGCAAGGACAGTGCTGAGATGCAGGTGAGGAATATCTGGAGACCCAGGAGCAGGGACAGGAGGAGATTACTCAGTTGTGAGGGTTGCATGTTTCTGTTTGAAGATTCCGGGAACAGGTTAAAGAGATGGGAAAAGCTTTTAGAGCCAAAACAGTGTGTTGGGAGGGAGGAAAGGTTCCATAGTTGGGAAGTTGTAGCTGCCCCATCCCTGGAAGTGTTCAAGACCAGGTTGGACAGGGCTTGGAGCAACCTGAGCTAGTGGAAGGTGTCCCTGCCTGAGACAGGGAGGCAGAACAAGATGAGCTTTAGGGTCCCTTCCAAACCAAACCATTCCAGGATTCTGTGAAGAAGACAAAAGAAGAGGTAATTGGTAGATGTCAATGAGAGGATGAATAATCAACTCTGTGCTGTCTTTTATAGCTTTGCTCATGTTTCTCTGTATTTCAGGTGGAGCTGGATGATCTCAGGGTCCCAGAATATACACACACAGGGGATGAAACACAGCACCAAGGTAAAGCTATTTGGGTGTGTAACCTCCCTACAGCTTCTCACTGCCTGCACCCTGCCATGACTTTTCCCCAGCCCTTTCTAATTAACCTGTGCCTAAACTTTCCCTTTAGATCTTGTAGGATCGTCTCTGAGCAGATCTCACTGGAAAGAGCGTTTTCCACCTAGAAGAAACTTCCATGAAGAAGTTCACAGAGAGAACACACATTCAAGTAATGGCAGGAAGCAATTGCACCCAAGTGCCTGAGTTCAGCTTGACGGGGTTCACCAACATCCCGGTGAACCAGGTCACCCTCTTCCTGGTGATCCTGCTCACCTACCTTGCCACCATCCTGGGGAACCTTGGGATGATCGCCTTGATCAGGGCCAGCCCCCCACTCCACTCCCCCATGTATTATTTCCTGGGTAACTTGGCTATCGTCAACCTCTGCTCTTCCACTGTCATCACCCCCAAGGTGTTGATTGACTTTCTGGTGGAGAAGAAGGACATCACCTATGCTGGGTGTGTGGCACAGGTGTTCGCTTTTGACCTTTTTGGGATGACTGAGTACTGCCTGCTGGCTACGATGGCGTATGACCGATATGTGGCTGTTTGTCACCCCTTGCTCTATCCCCTTGTCATGTCCCCAGTGCGCTGCTGCCAGCTGGTGACCGGGTCCTACCTCCTAGGGTTGACCAATGGTGTGGGACAGACTATTGGCATGTTCAATTTATCTTTCTGCAGCTCCAGTGTCATTGACCTGTTCTTTTGTGACATTTCCCTGCTAATATCACTCTCCACCTCTGACACGACCCTCAGCCACCTCATTCTGAAGACTTCAGCATCTGTATTTGGTGTGCCTAGCATCCTGGTGGTCCTGGTGTCCTATGTGGCCATCATCTCCACCATCCTGAGCATCAGCTCAGCCAAGGGCAAGCGCAAAGCCTTCTCCACCTGCACCTCCCACCTCACCACCATCAGCATCTTCTATGGGTCATCAGTTTTCATGTATTTAAACCCCAGCCCAGACAGCCTGAGGGGAGGAGGTAAATGGGCCGCAGTGCTCTTCACCATGGTGACCCCCATGCTGAACCTCTTGATCTACAGCCTGAGGAATGAGGAAGTGAAGGAGGCTTTGAGGAGACTCAGGAAAACAAAATGAGCTTGAACATTGTAAATTTATGGCCAGATGAAATGAAGATGTGTGTGATATCCTGGGATTTTGGTTCAATCTCTCAGAGTGGCAAAATTTCAGGGTCTTCTGCACTTTGACTTAGATGATGCATTGTCTGATTGAATATCAGCTGAGAATAGTGATAATTCTGCTCCAATTTCGGTGTTTGGATGAGGTTTGGAGCAACCTGGAAGAGGGTGGAACTGAGTGTAAGGTCCCTTCCAACCCAAACTGTTCTGGGATTCAGACACAGAGGGTTGGTGGGTAGGGCACAAATGTTATGTACATGAAAAAAGCAATAATACCCCAGTCTGTGCATTATCTCATCCTCTGCCAGGTCCATGGTGGATCCTGAGCAAAAGCTCAGCCTCGGTGCTCTCCTAGAGACACAGACTAACTTGGGATGCAGGGAGAAGCTGCTTAGTTGGATTAAATCAAGACAGGATCAAAGTGGTTTGTTGATTTATTAACACACAACTCACAGGCACTCCGGGTCAATCAGCTGAATCCTTTGTTCCCAAGGCTTCCTGATGATTCCCTGCTTACATTTAATCCTGCTGCCTGGCTGAACAGCCCCCCAGGCTGTTTGTGCTCCTGTTCCTCTCTTATCAACTGCATTGACTCTGGAGCTCATCACCTCACATGTCTCCAGGTGTGGAGACAATGGCCTCAAGGGTTGGATGTTAGGGAAAATTCCTTCATGGAAAGGGCTGTCCAGCCCTGGCACAGCTGCCCAGGGCAGTGGTGGAGTCCCCATTCCTGGAGGGATTTAAAAGCCATGTGGTGGTGGCTTTGGCAGTGCTGGGGAATGGGTGGACTCAATGATCCTGAAGGGTTTTTGCAGACTAAACAATTCAATGATTCTGTGATCAGGACCACAAACTGGGACCTCTGTGTGTAACTCCAGCTATTCTCCCACCCTTCTCCTCTGTGACCATCACCCTCAGGACATTGTTTAATTTAGGTGCAGAAGATTGTCATGTTTTTCCCTTTAAATAAGACTCAAAATTATGTGATGTTTTATTTAAAACATTAAAACAAAAAAACCCACATGAAATGAAGTTCTAAAGCATTAAAACTCTTACAAGATAAGCAGCTGTCCTTGCTGCAATGACCCATTGTTCAGTGATAAAATGTTGAATATTTGGAAAAATATTTGAAAAATATTAAATATTTAAAACCCACTCAATATTTGAAAACTATTTTGAGAAAATACCCAGTGACTTTGTGCCCAGCTGGTCTTGTCCTCACCATCACCAGGTGCTTAAGCAGGAACATGAGCCCTTAGTGACCTCAAACCACGAGTCTGTGGCCATGGTGATGCTGCTCTGCTCATTGTGGCTTCATGCTGGAGCTGCTGCTCTCAAAACTGAAAGGTTTTAGCTCCTTGTGCAAGGGAGGATTGGGGAAATGAGGGATGAACTGTGTCTGACTTCTGTGGGATCAGCATGTGACCACGAGAGGAGCGGGAAGGAACATCCAGCATTGCTGGGTCACCACGTGTCCCTGCTCATGTCAGGGGGTTGGAGCTGGATGAGCCTTAAGATCCCTTCCAACCCAAGCCATTCCAGGATTCTCTGGCCAGTGGGTGAGTCTCCCAAAGCCATTTTGAAGCACATGATACAAAATGGCTTATCAAAATGAGATTTTTTGGTCCAAAATGTGCAAATAGAAATCATCAAAACTTCAAAAAGGGGAAAAGCTGAGTCTTTCCCATGGGGAATAATTGCCTCAGGGCAGGCCAGAGAGCAGCTGTGAAGGTTGTGGTGGCCACCAAGATGGAGATGTGTCCTCCATGTGTCCTGGGTGCAAGGACCAACACCTGGGGCTGAGTGTTTCCAGGGTGTCAGGGGACTTTGTGCAGTGACACACAGCTGGCAGAATGGGGAAGTAAGAGCTGCTCTGAGAGGATGAGGGGAGAAGAGGAATTGACTGGAGCAAACTGTCTCGTCTTGCAGGGAATGGAAACCGTCACCGTGGCTGGTGAGAAGAGGGAAGTGAGAAGGGGAGGAAGGAGCAATACTCATTTCTCAACCAGCAGAGTGAACCACGTGAGAGGTACATGGCTCTTTATTTTATTGTTAGTCTTTATTTATGTCTTTATTTTTTAAAAACTAGGAATAAGAACAGAGGAAGAAAATACTAGCAGGTAAAATTATACCCTGGAATTGTCCAAGGCCAGGTTGGATGGGGCTTGGAGCAACCTGGGCTAGTGGAAGGTGCCCCTGCCCATGGCAGGGGGTGGGACTGGATGGTCCATAAAGTCCTTTCCAACTCAAACCATTCCATGATTCCATATGTTGCATTCAGACATGCCTAATCCATTCGATGGCTCTGATGCTCCCAATGACACTCCCTCATCATCTCCACTTTCTTGTGTCTCTCCATCCAGACAAAACTGATTTTCCGTCCCAGCTGCAACTGATTCATAATTCCTGCTTCCAGTTTGCAGGAGCTGAGTCATCTTGGCCCAGGACTCATCCTCTCTCCTTGTAGGCTTTGGGATGAGTCACCACAGGTTTCCCTGGTGGAGACAAGGATGTGTTTGGAGCCTTTGACTCATCTGATCTATTTTAAACAATTTTTATGGAAAGATGGTATGGATTCCTCCACTCACTGCATGGTGATGAAGGTGATGGGTTGTCACAGCCACATGGGAAATGTGGGATTTATTCAGGGCAGGCACATTCCAGGCACAGGCTGAAGGGTCAGTTTGAGCCTGAAGAGCTTAAATTCAGCTCATCATTATCCTCAGAGAATGGAAAACTAATTTGCAGCAGGAGAGTTCCTGGAGAGCTTTCCCTTCATCTTGATTAGGAGTTGTAACCCTTCTCTGAATCCTGAGCTGTCTCCCAGTCCCTAAACCTTGATTTCTTACACCAGTTCTGCTTAATTCCCTGTGATATCCCAAGACGTAAATTTTTATCTATATAATTATATATTTCAAGGAAAAATCCTTTATATATATTTAGAAATTACACATAATTTTTCTTTATATAT